TATCCTGGGTGCTTGGAAATTTCCATACTCAGACCACACATCACTTCAAGACATCAGAACCTCTGGTAGTGAAATCCAGGCATCAGAATTGTTAAAGTTCCTTAGAGGGTTTCATAAAAAGGAGCAGTGATATGCATCCTCACGGATAACGAGGTCAAATAAGTTACAAGGATAAGAATGGAAATGTGAGTGGAAAGTACATTAAAATTATGGAACAGATATCAATTCTTTTTTTTATTTTTTTATAAAGGTCTTCCTTTTTGCCTTTGGTTCACCCTCCAATGGCCACTGCAGTTGGCATGCTGCAGCCGGTGCACCGCACTGTCCGAAGGCAGGAGCCAGGTGCTTCTCCTGGTCATTCATGGGGTGCAGGACCCAAGCACCTGGGCCATCCTCCACTGCACTCCCTGGCCACAGCAGAGAGCTGGCCTGGAAGAGGGGCAACCGGGACAGAATCCAGCGCCCCGACTGGGACTACAACCCAGTGTGCCGGCGCCGCAAGGTGGAGGATTAGCCTATTGAGCCACAGGGCTGGCCCAGATATCAATTTTAAATAACAAAAAGGCAAAGTATATTTTCTTTTTCCAGGATAACTTGATCATCCATAATGAACTAGAGAAGGCTCCATAGGTACAATATGAGTCAGGTATGCAAGGGTAAAGATATAATGTTTCCATAAAGAAAGAGCAAAACAGGAAATCTCAGTTACAAAAGAAGATGCATGAAACCCATGAGAGCCTCATGTGTGATGTGATGAGCCAGGTGAGATTTTAGGGTCTGGATGCTGAGTTTTGCTGCCTTCCAATCTGTGCTCTAAATAGCTTGCTGACTGAGAAGTCTCCACATGGCCCTCTTGATGTCCATGTTCCTCAGGCTGTAGATAAAGGGGTTGAGCATGGGGATGACCACAGTGTACATCACTGAGGCCACTGCACACTTCCTGGAAGAAAGTGAGGCTGCTGAAGTGAGATACACCCCAAGGGATGTTCCATAAAATAAACATACAACAGTCACATGAGAGCCACAGGTGGAGAAGGCTTTGTACTTCCCACCAGCTGATGGGACTCTCAGAACGGAGGAAATGATTTTGTAGTAAGAGTGGAGAATCCCTGAGATAGGGAGAAAACCATATATGATGCCAACAAAATATATGGCTGTGTCATGAGTGAAAGTGTCAGAGAAAGCAAGAGTGAGAAGCTGGGAAGGTTCACAGAAGAAATTAGAAATGTCAACATCTTTGAAGCAGGTAGCTCTTAATACCATCAAATTCTGCAGCAGAGATTCCAAAAGGCTGGCCACAACCGACACTGAAACCAAGAAGCCACAGCGGCAGGGGTTCATGATGACCTGGTAATACAATGGATGACAAATGGCGACAAACCGGTCATAGGCCATCACGGTCAGAAGCAAATCATCCATGCACCCAAAGATAATAAAGAGAGACATCTGTGTCAGGCAGCCCACATAGGAGATGCCTGTGCTGTGAGTGTGGATGTCCACAATCATCTTGGAAATCGTGGTGGAAGTGAAACCCACATCAGCCAAGGACAGGTTGCAGAGGAAGAAATACATGGGGGTCTGGAGGCGGGAGTCTGAGCTGATGGCCAGGGCGATGAGCAGGTTCCCGAGCAGCGTGATCAAGTACATGGACAGGAACAGCACAAAGAGGAGAAGCTGCAAGGCTGGATCTTCTGAAAAGCCCATGAGATGAAATTCTGAGACTTGTGTGAGATTTTGTGTTTCAAAACAACCTGGACTCCTTTTGGAAAGGAAAGTAGGATTGGTAAAAGGAAACAGATAAACAGGCACCCAGCACTCTCTATGTCTTCAAGTCAAGTTTGTATGGGTATAGCATGAGGGTAACGCTAGTGTTCACAGAATAAGTTGAATTCAAAGAAAAGGGTTTTCTTGTAATACAGTTGTGAAATTCATGCATTTTTTGCATGATACAAATTTTCCCTGTAGCTTCTGGAACTCCACTTTCATATTCACACTCGGTAACCAAATTCTGTCATCTTTCTCAATGGTGACAAACTCAGTCTTGTGAGAGATCTTTTATGATTGGTGTCTGAGCTACCTCTCTCTATGTAAAAGCCTTAAAGAGTCTCACAAATTTTAGAAAGCCAAGAACATTAGAACTAACAAGTCTATGTTCAGAGTCTAATGCAATCTAGTATTTATGAGAAACAGTCTAATTAAAGGAAATTTAAAAACAGTTAAATATGCCTTTTTTATTTTAAGACAATGGAACAAATTCCTTTCAGTCACAATTTTTATAAGTCATCTATAAAGCTACAAATGTATTGTCTGAACCCCAAACTAACATTGATTGTTCACAACCAGGAAATACTGTTGTGTGTCTGTTGTCTTCCAGGGATCTACCCATTCCTGGCTTTTCTGACTTCCCTCCTTCGTGGATGTATGTGCTCACTCTAATGTTTAGCTCATTTGCTTAGAATGCTCTCATCCACTGCTTCACTCCACAGATGCCTGTGATGGCTGTGGCTGGAACAAGGTAGAAATTGTGAGTTCTTAATCCTATCTCAATCCAGGTCTCCCCTGGGTAGAGACTCAACCATCTGACCACTGCCTGCCAGGATCTGTATTCACAGGAAGCAAGAGTCAGGAACCAGGGCCAGTAATCAACCCTAAGTACTGTGTGGGAGCTGGCACCTTAACCACTATGCTATTTACACTCACTCCTTTTTGCCTCTTAGTGCCATTTAATATATAACTCCAGTCCTTAGCTTTGGTGGACTTCAAATTTTCATAAAAGTCATTGTCTAATACACATAGTCATGTGAAATCAATGACCACCATTGGAACAATAGTGTATTCTGGACCTGTCAATGATTAGAAACAGTGAACTATTAAGAACTATTTGAATTTTTTAAATTTTCTACAGGTTTCTTTGTATGGTCCCCTGAGAATCTTAATAAATGCCTGATATATGAGAGCTTTTTACTTTGAACATTTTTAAATTTTTTCTTATGTGTCACTTAATGGCCTGGCAATACTGCTTGGTTGTTTTTCTGATCATAAACCATTTGAGCTGAGTGATATCAGGAAAGCTCCAAAGACAGCTCTGAGTCCCAGACTTCCTATGCATAATTCAAGGATTTTTATGTCACCACTTCCTGGTACATGAATTTTTCTAACTTCAGCTGCCTAAAGGCAATGTTAGTTTATTATTTTGCTAGGTTATACTGTCATTGAATGGTGAAAAAATGTGAAACAGAATTCCAGAAAATAATGTAAAGATACTCAATAGTTACCACCTCTGTAAAATAGCAATAATAATTATCTCCCTTGTAGAGCTGTTGTAAGAAAAATTTTTAAAATATGTTATTAAATTTCTGTTATTTTATTTGAAAGGCAGAGAGATCTGGAGTAAAAATGATAGAGAGACTGATCTTCCATCCTCTGGTTCATTCCCCAAATCCCTACAACAGCTGGGGCTGTGCCAGGCCAAAGCCAGGAATAAGGAACCCCATCCATGTCTCCCACACAAGTAGCAGGAACCAAAGTACTTGGACCATCATCTGCTGCCTCCCAGGCATATTAGCAAGAGGCTGAATTGGAAGAAGAGTAAGCCAAGTCTGGAACCGGGCAATGTAATATGGATGAAGCAGCTTAACCTACTTTATCACAATGCCTGCCCCTCTGAGTCAGCAGTAATTTCTGCATCCCTAAATAGTTTTCTCTAAAACTTACCTGCAAAGTGCTTGAAGCTCATCTGAGTAGAATTCTATACCTCTTGCCCATGAAATGTACAAGTATACATTGATGCTTGGGTTTAAGTCTCTCTGTGAAGTGCTCATGTCTCCTTCATATACTTTGATTGTTTCCTGTCCTTACCTGAGAGAGGAACATCATTTCATTTGTCTATTTATTCTGACAATCTTTCAAAAATTCTTGTCTCCATATCACACAAATGAGAATAGCTATAAGATATGTGCATGGATAGAGTTGTTTGAGTTGCAATATTCAGTGCACAGGCAATTTTACTATTAATCATTTACATCTGCTGCCCCAATAAAACAATTGTAATCAACTTACATCCTCTTATTAAGATATACCATTGAATATATATCCCTGGGTTATATCTAGTCATAATCCCCCCATGATTACTCACTGAGATGTTTCATCTTGTAGACAGAATAATATTTCCATTTGACTCCAGTGAAGGAGACAGTGCTCTGAGAAGGGGTGAGGAAATCAATGTTTCCATCCCAGATCATTCACCCACTACAGGCACAATGCGTGTGGATCTCTGCACCCCTGTGTACTTGTATTGTCTACTGGATACAGGAAGAAGAACACACACATCTATGACAGGCGTAGCATCTAAGGAAGTTTAGAACCAAAATATTTGGTCACTGTGACATTTTAAAACACAGAATTTGGGGCTGGCACTGTGACAGAGTAGACTAAGCCTCTGCCTGTGGTGCCAACATCCCATTTGGGCACTGGTTCAAGTCCCAGCTGATCCTCTTCTGATTCAGCTCTCTGTTCTGGCCTGGAAAGGCAGTAGAAGGTGACCAAGCACTTGGGTCCCTGTGTCCATATGGGAGGCTCCTGGATTTTTGGATTGGCCCAGCTCTAGCCATTGTGACAGTGCACCAGCAGATGGTAGACCTTTCTCTGTCACTCCCTCTCTGTCGGTAACTCCGCCTCTGAAATAAATAAATATTTTTTAAAATACAAAATACACAATTCTCTCATTATGGAGATAGCAAGTTTGTCAGTGTATACCATTGTCCAAGGCACGGGAAGCTACAAGGATATCCAACTCAAAAATGAGTCTCACCCACACAAAATGTTTGCCCCTTCTCTAGGTTTTTTTATTCTATATAAAACAACCTCTGCCTTGATTTTTGAATAACTATAAACAATAGTAATGCTGCAGATGCTACTGAGGAGATTATTGGACCCATGTTACTGAGTATGGCCAGCTATTGTGAGCCAAGTAAGGTCTATTCATTATTTAACATTTTTTTGATGCCTCCTCTGTGCCAAGCAACAGATTAGTGTCTGAGGAATCTGAAATGAAAGACAGTTCTTCAGCAAATACACAGCAAATACGTTTGTGAGGGTATGTCTATGCTCCAAAATGATTTTGGATGATTGGGATGTATCTATTATCAGTTCAAAAATTACCCAGTGAAGTGCTATCAATGAGGCATCATCTCAGATGACAACGCAGATTCTCAGGGTACTGACAACCTGCCCTACATCAAAGAAATCATCAGTGGAGCAGGCAGGAGTCAAAATGACATTGAAAGTCTCTGGATCCAATTTATCAAAGACCCCCATTTTCTCCCAACCATCAGGGAGTGTTAGAGCACCAGAGATCCAAACCACAGGTTATACAAGTTCCTTTAAAATCGTTCCCAGTTTTGGCAGTAGAAATGGAACCCAAGACCCCAATCTTGTCTCTCTTTGAGATCAAATGAGGTGATTACAAGAGTTGGGGAGAAAGTGGATGACTGAAGTGTGGGGTGGGGTGGAGAGAGAGAGACTCTGATCCCATGTCTGCTCTCTCTGTGAGCTCAGTCACCTTGTCCCACTGCTGCCTGCTGTGATTTACCAAGAAACCCCAAAGACAAAGCACGGTGAGCAGGGCTGTCAGCCTGGAGTGACAGGAAAGAGAGATGAATGGATGGGTTGTCAGAGGGAGACTGGGCATGCTCGTGTCTGCAGTCAGACAACCTGACTCGGTTGTGGTTTCACCCATTTCTACATCACAGCCTGGTACAAGTTGCAAAAAACATTGTGCTCCTCTCCTCTTCTGTAAAACAAAAGTAGCATCTGCAACATAATGTGGGGGAGTACATAGATGAGAAGAAGCAGGTTGAATAGGACATAGAATTCAGAGCCTGGCCCATAGGAAGCCCTCAGTAAGGTTGGAGACTTTATGGTTACTGCATCCTCCTCCTCCTCACCTTCATGATTACGTGTGAGTGCTCGGAAATTCAGAGACTCATTTGCTCCTATCAAGAAGAAGATTCTAGTGAGCAGAATCAGTGTGGAAGGAAAGAAAAATGCTCAATAAGTTGAGACCCTTGAGAACCAAGAACGTGAACTTCACAATTATCTAAGCTGGAACTTTGCCCACTGGTTCCTTCCCATCCATCTACTCCAATTGTTCTGTTTGTCCCAAAGATGTGGAGATCAAGGCTGATATTCCCACCTCCTTCCACTGTGTCCCTCAGCACTCACTGAAGCATGGCAGAAAGAGCTGGGTCCACTGTTTGCTTCTTGCCTGGTATGCGGGGAAGCCTCAGGTTCTGTACTCAGGGGTGGGAGGAATACAGACAGGTTGGGCCTCCTGACACACAGATGTTCCAGAGGACCAGACATGAGTAGAGAGCCACTGCGTTTGTCTGGCAAGTCAAGTTCTGAAGTCACTGGCTCATTATTTGCACTTGTAGGACTCGGGATGGGGGTGTGCACAAGGCACAGAGCTCCTAATTAGCCCATAGGTCCATGTCACCCTCATCTCTGAGGACTTTCTGATATCATTGGAAGAGGAAAAGGAGAAAAGCAAGTGTACCCAGAACCTGTTCACAGAGAGCTCACCCATCGGTGCTCCTTGCTGCTGACTTCCAAGTTGTAGGATCTTTACATCAAATTCAGTTTCTGGTTTACATTTTCACACCTCAATGTGTGATTGTTTCATCTGTCCAAATATTATATAAATTATAAAAGTAGGATAATTGGGTTTTCTGTGCCAAGAATCTGATGCCTTTACCATTTTCTTAGTTTCTAAACACAAATTCCTACTTTTATTTCCTAAGCCCTTGCTTGGATTGATATTTCATGTCTGGGGACCTCTGGGCCTTTTACCAGTTTGATTTCGTCTTCATTTCTGAGTTGTGTCTCTTATGGAAGTAAATTGATATATTATAAAACTATTGATAATCACATATTTACTTGTTATTTTATACTTAAGTAATATAGGAGCAACAGGAAGAACAGATACTTCAAAATGTTTCAAAAATTAAAACTAATGTTCATGATATCTGTTTTCCATAAAATTTTTGAGAGACCCCATGTATATAAAATATCTTCAGTTATTCTTGAGGTGTAGCAAATGGTTGTGTAAACGTGATGACTAGCCCTATAAAGAGAAAATGTTAAAGAAAATCAGAATTCTCACTTATGGTTTAGGAAGTCCCTCTAAAAACCTAGATTATACACCTCATGCTTTGGGGCTGAGACTTTTCATATTGATCCTGGTCAATCTGGTTACCCCAACCACATTGCTGGTCCTAAAGTCAAGGAGACAAGTTTTCCAACATTCCCTCCTGCATCCTCTGTGTCCCAGAGGACTCATGGGGCTGGGCTCCCTTGCTGAGGGGCATGACTGGGGGGTGAGGGTCCACTACCCCATAATGCCCAGTGAGCAATGAGGGCTGTGGCTTTCTCTTCAAGACTGTCAGGAAAACAGCCAGGCCTGGGCCTCCTAATGCATGTGAGTCTTGGAGAAAGACATACACATACTATTTTACTGGCTTGGGACCAACATTCTTTTTAATATCTAATTATTCTTTTAGTATTTATTAATATTTAAGTGGCAGAGAGAGACAAAGAGATACAAAGAACTTCCATCTATTGTTCACTCCCCAAATGCTCACAACAGCTGGTTATGGCTCTGGCTTAAGCCTGGATCTAAAAACTCAACCCAATTCCCCACGTGGGTGGCAGGAACCCCATTGCTTAAGCTCTCAAATGCTACCCTGCAGTGTGTCCATTAGTAGGATGTGGGAATTCGAACTGGGGCTGTGACTGTAACCCACACACTCTGCTCAAGGATGCAGGCCTCTCACTGGGCTCCCTTGCTGTGGGGCATGACTGGGGAGTGAGGGTCCATTTCCCTTACATGTCCATTGGGCAATGCGGGCTGAGGCTCTCTCCTCAGGACCGCTAGGAACACAGCCAGGACTTGGCTTCCTCTTACAAGTGACTCAGGGGAGAGACACCGGTACAATTTTTACTAGACTGGAAACAGTGTTCTTATTTAAAATATGTTTCATTTGAATGGCAAAATGAGACAAGGACAGAGAGGGAGAGAATTTCCATTGACTGATTCACTCCCCCAACATCATAAGAGCCAGTGCTAAGCCAGGCAAACCCAGGAATTCCCATGTAGGTGGCAGAGACAGAAATACCTGAGCCATTGTCTGCTTCACCTCAGGGTGCATATTAGCATGAAGCAGACAATGAAGCAGAGTTAGGGCTCAAATCCAGGCACTCAGTTATGGGATGCCTGCATCCCAAGTGGCATCTTAACTGCTGTGCAAAACACCTTCTCCTGGGACCAGCATCTTAAAGACTGAATATAGATTGATATCTTTCTCATAGGTTCTTTTTTTATTTTTATTGCTTTTTAAAAATTAAGGTATATAAATTTCATATATACAGATTTAGGAACATAGTGATACTTCCTAGCCTGCCCTCATTCCCACCCACACTCCCACCCTTCCTCTTCCTTCTTCTCCTAATCCTTTTCTTAATTTTTACAATGATCTACTTTCAGTTTACTTTATATTCATAAGATTATATGTTCAACAAATAATAAGAAAAAAACCTGTTCCTCAACAGTAAATACAAGGGCTGTAAACAATTGTTGAAGCTCAAAATGTCAATTTCTTTCCTATACATTACATTTTCAGTACTCTAATACTACAGTTCATAAAATACATGTATTTGTCTTTTTGGGACTAGCTTATTTCACTAAGTATAGTGGTTTCAAGTTGCATCCATTTTGTTGCAAATGATAGAATTTCATTCTGTATTACAGCTGAATAGTACTCCATAGTGGATATTTACCATAATTTCTTTGTCCAGTCATCAGTTGATGGACATCTGGTTGATCCGATATCTTATTGTGAATTGAGCTGCAATAAACATAGGGTACAGATAACTTTCATATGCTGATTTCATTTCATTTGGGTAAATTCCCAGCAGTGGGACTGCTAGGCCATAAGGCATATCTGTTTTCAGCTTTCCGAGGTATCTCCATACTGACTGTCACATGGCTGTACTAGTTTACATTCTCAGCAACAGATTAGGGTACCTTCTCCCCTACATCCTCACCAGCACTTACTGTTTGTTGATTTCTGTAGCAGTACCATTCTAACAGAGCTGAGGTAAGGCCTCACTGTGGTTTTGATTTGCAATTCCCTGATGGTTAGTGATCCTGAACATTTTATTTCATGTGTCTGTAGGCCATTTGAGTTTCCTCTCTTGAAAAATTCCTGATCCAGTTCTTTGACCATTTCTCAACTGGATTGCTTTGTTGTTGAGGTTCTTGAGCTCTGTGTAGATTCTGGGTATTAATCCTTTATCAATTTCATAGTTTGCAAATGTTTTCTTCCATTCTATAAGTTCCCTCTTCACTTTGTTGTTTCTTCTGCAGTGGAGAAGCTTCTCAGCTTGATGTAATCCCATTTGTCTATTTGGCTGTGATTGCCCGTGCTGTTCTTGAGCACTTTAGAGACTAAAGAGTACTTTTGATGTTCTAGAAGCACGACAAGATTGTATATATATTTTTCTTCTTCCCAGCATGTTACACAACCCATAAACCATCTGCTCTCAGCCAAATGTTCCTACAGAAGAACTGCCAGATGGACAGATGTTTCTCTGTATTGTGTAGTTACACAGTGTCTATCGTACTGCTCCATGGTGTATCCATGATCATATAGTCCAAAGGAGGAACCATGGTTTCCCTTCTTCCCACAGAATCTATGATGTCACAGACAGTGTTAGCCATTCTGTGTCCAAAGGAAACACATGTTCCCACTGGCTTCCAGTGTTTGCTCATCAAGTAAGTGCTCATTTCCCATCAGAATGTATTTTCTTTAGATATTTTTCATGTGTGTTATCAGCTCATTATGTCTTCAATGTAATATACTTTGGGCCACAGTGATATCAGGAAGGTGATGGAATAGGAAGCTCCAGGTCCTCACTTCCCCCATTGACGCAGGACTTAGCAACATATATGGACCCAATTGCCTTTGTGAGAATGCCACAAACACGTTAAGAGATTGTATCATCCAGGTGAGTGCAAAGCCAAGGAGAACTGTGTCAAAATGGATAAGAACATTTATTGCATTGGCCCACCAAGATCCTCCAAGTCCCTGAAACAGCTAGGCAGAAGAAAATATCCAAATACTACAGTCTGTCTTGGAAGGGGCAGAGAAGGTAGAGTGTTCTTCTGTCTTCTCGGGGCTGCCTGAGGAACTGGTTGATACCCTGGCTGACTTGGGCACTAAAGTGCCCAGATCGCTAGATCCCCGCAGATTCCCCCAGAGAGTCAATCACACCAAAATGCAAAAGCAAGGTTTATTCGGGAGTACAAGCCTCAGCCAGGACCCCATCCAACCTACCAGCACAACAGAGGCAGGATGGAGGTCCCGGCCTTTGTTTTAGGAGTGCTTTTAAAGGAAAAAACCACAGGGTTACATCAGCGGGGGCTTACAGTATGGGGGCTTTTGGTGATTGGACAGGGCTTTTCTGGGTTGTTCTTAGTGGAAGGGGGGGCTCCATTTGGCTTGGGTTCAGGGAGTTACTTTATTTAGCAATCTCTACTGAGCTGTCCTTGGTCTACTGAACTGCCCTTTGTTAAGCTTTGATATCTCCGGAATGCCTGCTTTTACAAGGACTCGGGTCTGCTACGGGAAACAGAGACTGCTTTTTATTGTTTTAAAATGGAGTCACTTTGGCTCTTCAGGCACTAATGGTAGTTACAATGTTAGGTGGGTACAAGTTCAAGAGCCACTGAGAATAATAGAAGGCCCCTAGTTACATACCTTAGAGGAATTACTGTACCACAGACACCAGCTAAAGGAAGAGATGATAAGCCCTTGAGAATTATGGCAGACCTCTTTAAAGGAAAAGTACAACACCAGCCCAGAGAAGATGCCTCCCCCAAAAAGATTTGAGGGTCCCTCAGAATCTCTGAAAAATCTAGTGGCAAAGGCCTCTCCGTGCATAAACCCATTCCTAAGGACAAGGAGAACCTGATTTTTTTTAACTTTTTT